TCGCACACTTATCACCCAATTCTGCCACGTATGTCGCCACGCCCACAGCACTCACAACCCTATAAGACTCCGCCTGTAGTCAGAAACTCAACTTTTACATGAGGATATACAGTATTTATATTGCACCTTCCACGTCATAAATTGCTTGGCAGCCAGAGAAACATTTTTAAAGTGTGATTACCATTATTTAATGTAAAGCACCTAGTAAACTCCCATAAAAAAAATTGATAAATAAACTATCTCCCTAGATTCCACCCCACCCACCTTACTAGTTTAAATCCTCCCAAGCAGCTTTAGCAAATCTCCCCACTAGTATATTAGTCTGATCTCCTGCTGGTCCCTCTCCCATTTCAGAATATTCTGCACCCTCTCCAAGATATCCTTGATCCTGACACCAGGGAGGCAACACATCATTCTGATGTCTCGTTGTCGGCCGCAGAAACGTCAATCTGCGCCTCTTACGAGAGAGTCCCCTATCACAATCGATCGTTTGGAACCTGAAATACCCCTTGTTACAATAGAGCCAGTCTCAGTACCGGGAACCTGGCTATCATTGCTACATTCCCCTGAGAGTCCATCACCGCCCTACATTTTCCAAAACAGCATACTTGTTGCAGATGGGGATAGTCACTGATACTCCTGCATAACCTATTTCCCTCTCCTACATTTCCTGGGGGTAACCCATCTTCCTGACTTTTTCTGTGGTTTGTCTCCCTTCATACAACTGCCATCCATCACAGTCCCTAGCTTCTGCAACCTCCTCATTGCCTCTAACTGCCTCTCCAATCAATCCATGCAATCCAATAGGATTCGCAACCAGACACACTTCCTTCAGACATAATCATCAGTGACATGGAAACTCTCCCTAATTTCCCACATCCGACAGGAAGAGCACACCGCTCTATTAAAGGCCATTTTTGCACCTTTAACAATCTACAGACCCAGAAAATAGCACAGTCTTACTGCTCTAAAAACACTGATCCAGGCTAACTTAGTACGTATGTTTTATATTCTTAAAATTTAATTGAGATAGATCTCAATAAAACAAATAATCAAAAAAAGCCAACTCTACTCAGTATTGTAGATATACAAAAAAAAGTAACAGTAATATAACACCTAAAAACTATCCACTTAGTTGCTCCCATGCTGTGAGCTCTCCCACACAGGTTTCTCCAAGGTCAGCTGTGAATTTCGCCGTTTGTTAATTTTTCTTAGACGAATTCCAATGGCCAGAGATACTTGAAATCAAACAGCACAGGCAGTAGCTATGCAGATTCACTACTGGGTCAGAAGCAGTGTAGGTTTCTTTCTCCATTTGTCACTTCCCATTTGGTCTCTACCTCTGTCTCTCTTCCTCCTTTTAAAAGTTCCATTGTTTTGATCTTTTCTCCACCCAAAGTTCCAAAACAGTGCAACAGCTTATAAAACAGTAAATTACTGCTCCTAGAATGAGGAAATCAGCTCCAACGTTGAAAAGACCTCAAAAAAAGGAGCAGCTGTTACAGTCGCAACTTTTTCCCATCCTCCATCTTGGATTACCCAGAATTCCTAAAGACTTTGAGCCTACCAAAAAGGTTGATATTTCAATGCAGGGTGGACAGGGTACTTTCTTGTTGAACTGACCCTGTCATTAAGGTGTGTCACTAAATTGCAGCTATAAAAGGTCCCATGCCACTTTTTTAAAATGAGACGAGCCAGTGTTTTACTCAGTATCTTGGTTAATGTTTGTCTTTCAGTCACCATCACTAAACAGGTTAGGGAGATAGTGAGGAAAGAGATCAATCTGAGTGGTACAGTTGGGAAAAGGAGCAAGTCAAACAGTCAGGAACGAGGTAGAACTGATAAATTAAACTGCATTTATTTCAATGCAAGAGGCCTAACAGGTAAGGCAGATGAACTCAGGGCATGGTTAGGAACATAGCACTGGGATATCATAGCATTTACAGAGACGTCTCTCAGGTATGGACAGGACTGGCAGCTTAATGTTCCAGGGTACAGATGCGATAGAAAGGATAGAAGGGAAGGCAAGAGAGGAGGGGGAGTGGCGTTTTTGATTAGGGATAACATTACAGCTGTACTCAGGGAGGATATTTCTGGGAATAGGTCCTGGGAAGTTATTTGGGTGGAACTGAGAAATAAGAAAGGGATGATCACCTTCTTGGGATTGCACTATACACCCCTTAGTAGTCAGCAGGAAATTGAAAAACAAATTTGTAAGGAGATCTCAGTTATCTGTAAGAATAATAAGGTGGTTATGGTGGGGATTTTAAATTTCCAAACATAGACTGTGTGTTAAGGGCTTGGACGGAGGGGGAATTGTTAAGTGTATACAAGATAATTTTCTGATTCAGTATGTGGATGTACCTACTAGAGAAGGCTCTAAACTTGACTTACTCTTGGAAAATAAGGCAGGGCAGGTGACTGAAGTGTCAGTGGGGGAGCACTTTAGGGCGAGTGACCATAATTCTATTGGTTTTAAAACAGAGATGGAAAAGGATAGACTGGATCTAAAAGTTAAAATTCTAAATTGGAGGAAAGCCAATTTTGATGGTTTTAGGCAAGAACTTTCAAAAGTTGATTTGGCGGCGGGGCGCGGTGGTGGGAGGGGGGAGGGAAGGTTTGCAGGTAAAAGGATGGCTACAAAATGGAAAGCCTTCAAACATGAGATAATGAGAGTCCAGAGACAGTATGTTCCTCATAGGGTGAACGGCAAGGCTGATAGGGTGGAGGGAATGCTGGATGACTAGAGAAATTGAGGTTTTGATCAAGAAAAGGAAGGAAGCATGTATCAGTTATAGACAGTAGACATCGAGTGAATCCCTATAAGAGTATAAAGGCACCAGGAGTATACTTAAGAGGGAAATCAGGAGGGCAAAAAGGTGATATGAAATAGTTTTGGCAAAGAGAGTTAGGAGAATCCAAAGGGATTCTACAAATACATTAAGGACAAAATGGTAACTAAGGAGAGAATAGGGTCCCTTAAAGATCAGCAATGCCACCTATGTGTGGAACCACAGGAGATGAGGGAGATACTAAACAAGTATTTCCATCAGTGTTTACTGCGGAGAAGGCTATAGAAGATATCGAACATGGGGAAATAAACGGCAACATCTTGAAAAATGTCCATATTACAGAGGATGAGGTGCTGGATGTCTTAAAACTCAAAAAGGTGGATAAATCCCCGGGACCTAATCAGGTGTAACCTAGAACTCTGTGGGAAACTAGGGAAGTGACTGCTGGGCCCCTGGCTGAGATATTTTGTATCATCGATAGCCACAGGTGAGGTGCCAGAAGACTGGAGGTTGGTCAACATGGTGGCACTATTTAAGAAAGGTGGTAAGGAAAAGCCAGGGAATTATAGACCAGTGAGCCCGACATTGGTGGTAGGCAAGTTGTTGAAGGGAACGCTGAATGACAGGATTTACGTGTATTTGGAAAGGCAAGGACTGATTAGGGATAGTCAGCATGGCTTTGTGCGTGGGAAATTATGTCTCACTAACTTGATTGAGTTTTTTGAAGAAATAACCAAGAGAATTGATGAGGGATGAGCATTTGACAAGGTTCCTCATGGTAGACTGGTTAGCAAGGTTAGATTACACAGAACCCAGGGAGAACTAACCACTTGGACACAGAACTGGCTTGAAGTTAGAAGACAGAGAGTGGTGGAGAGGGTTGCTTTTCAGACTGGAGGCTTGTGACCAGCAGTGTGCCACAAGGATCTGTGCTGGATCCACTGCTTTTCGCCATTTATATAAATGATTTGGATGTGAACGTAGGAGGCATGGCTAATAAGTTTGCAGATGACACCAAAATTGGTGATGTAGTGGACAGCGAAGGATGTTAGCTCAGAGTCCAACTGGACGTTGATCAGATGGGTCAATGGGCCGAAGAGTGGCAGATGGAGTTTAATTTAGATAACTGTGAGGTGCTGCATTTGGAAAGGAATATCAGGGCAGGACTTATATACTGAATGGTAAGATCCTGGGGAGTGTTGCTGAACAAAGAGATCTTGGGGTGCAGGTTCATTGTTCCAAGAAAGTGAAGTCACAGTTAGATAGGATAGTGAAGGCGGCTTCTGGTATACTTTCCTTTATTGGTCAGTGCATTGAGTATGGGAGCTGGGAGGTCACGTTGCGGCTGTACAGGACATTGGTTAGGCACTTTTGGAATACTATATGCAGTTCTGGTCTCCCTGCTATAAGGAAGGATGTTGTGAAATTTGAGAGGGTTCAGAAAAAATTTACAAGAATGTTGCCAGGGTCGGAATATTTGAGCTATAGGGAGAGGCTGAATAGGCTGGGGCTATTTTCTCTGGAGTATCGGTGGCTGAGGGGGGACCTTATAGAGGCTTACAAAACCATGAGGGGCAGCATACGGTAAATAGACATGGTATTTTCCCTGGGGTGGGGGGAGTCCAAAACTAGAGGGCGTAGGTTTAAGGCGAGAGGTGAAAGATTTAAAAGGGACACAAGATGCAACTTTTTCACACAGGCGGTGGTGCGTGTATGGAATGAGCTGCCAGAGGAAGAGGTGGAGGCTGATACAATTATAATATTTAAAAGGCAACTAGATGGGTATATGAATAGGAAGGGTTTAAGAGGGTTACGGGCCAAATGCTGGCAAATGGGACTAGATTAATTCAGGATATCTTGTCAGCATGGACAAGTTGGAACAAAGGGTCTGTTTCGTGCTGTACATCTCTATGACTCTATGAGTGGGCTTGAACCTACGACCTTCTGAACCAAAGACACTGCACCAAGGATGGGAAAGCAAGAAAGGGTGAAAAGCAAGGCAACATGCACATTCAGCAATCACAATTCCAGAAACACCTGAACAGGAAAACACCAGCTCGCAGTGCAGATTATGTCTCATATTGTACAAGGTGTTAGCATTATTCAAGTCTATTAAAGGCTTGAGCTGAAAGTATAGCTACAATGTGAAAAACAGTATGTGCAAGGTTGGTCTCAGGCTGACAGTTAAATATTTAATCTTTAGTTTACCTCTTCACTTTGTGTCTGTTCCAGTTGTAAAACTGACTCCAAGTTCTTCATCTCCAATTTGGTGACCTCGAGTTCTTTATTGATTTGAAGCAATTTTTCACTTTGGGAAGTTATAAGTACTCTTAGTCCTGCATTCTCTACCCTCAAGGCATCTCTGTCTTTTAAAATAGCTTCTTTATCAGTGAGTTCACTTTCTAACATCTTAATCTTTTCTTTGGAATCAGACAAAATTGAAAACAGCCCTGCATTTTTTGCCTCCAGATCCTTCTGAACCAACTTCACATCACAAGACTGTCCCATTATGATCCTGCAAACAAAAGAAAAATTATAAATATTACTTGTATGCCAACTATTGCATGTATTTCAGAAACGACTTCACACTTAATTGCCCTATATACACACTGAATTAATCTTAAAAGTTTTATTAAAAGAATGCAAGCTTCACTGACAATGCCACCAGTCATTCTCCAACCCCACATCTCTTTGAAAAGGTGGCAGTGAGCCAATTCTTCAAACACTGAAGTCTAACTGCTGCAGGAACAGCCACAGTGCTGTTAGAAGGGGAGTTTGAGGAATTTGGTCCAGCAGTAGTGAAGGAATGATGACATAGTACCAAGTGTGTGACTTGGACAGGTAGCGTTCAACGCATGCATTATCTTTCTATGTGGTAGATGGCAGATGTTGGACAGTACTATCAAAGGGGGCTTGACGAATTACTACTGTGCATCTTGTGGATGGTGTATGCTACTGCCCTGTGGGCCTACGTTCAAGGAAGTGAATTTTGAAAAGGCATTGGATGAGATGTTGATCAGGTTGATTGCTTTGTCAAGTCTCGAGTGTTGTTGGAGCTGCGCACATCAAAATAAACGGAGCGTAGTCTGTCACGTTCTCAGTTTTGTGCATTGTAGATGGTGAAATTGGAAGTTCAAGAAGTGACTTACTTGATACAGAATTCCCAGCCCTAAGCTTCTCTTGTAGCCATCGTATTTATATGGCTAGTGCAGTTAATTTGTTATTAATTAATGTTTTAACAACAATGTTATGCTTCTTGGATACACAGAATAACCTTCGGGAAAAATAGATGAATTACCAGCAGTTAAAAATAAATGAATTTGATCTGAAAATAATGTAGACTGGGAAAAACAAATTTGCAGTAGTTGTTTGGAAGACAAGTTCATGGAAGGCATTCAAGATAATTTGCTGGATTAGTATATTGATCCACCAACTGGAGAATATGCTAGGTAATGTTTATTAGTGCAAAACGAGACAACAAATCTGTAATAAGTGAGTTTCTAGAGAACTTTGGACTGAGTTTGGAAGCCTTTCAGTCGAGAACGAAACTAGGCCTTTCAGTCAAAGTAATACAGCATTTTTAGGGACAAGACCAATCCCCTCAAAGTATATTAGAAAGATAATCTAGACCCCAACTTTTTTCTTATTCTTAAAGGCAAGTGTAAGGCATTGTGTTCCATGTGCAATTTGATTAGTCAAATTACCAGGCTTGAAACAAAACGCACTTTACTTTTACACAACGGTTAAAATACAAACAAAAGAAAGAAGAATTAGAATAACTTAAGCTTTTTGGAAAACTTAAAAATTAATAGATTATTTAACTACCAAACCCAGCAACTGGAATGTGGTGGTGCCGGTGTTGGACTGGGGTGGACAAAGTCAGAAGTCACACGACACCAGGTTATAGTCCAATAGGTTTATTTGAATCATACAAGCTTTTGGAGCACGGCCCCTTCAACAAGTGCAGTGAGAGAGCAGGGCACACAGACACAGAGTTTACAGGCAGAGAGATCAAAAGATCGTACAACTGGTGAGAGTGAATTGTCAGGTCTCTGCAGGTGAACAAGTGTGTTAGATGCTGTGTAAAGTGTTTATAAAGTCAATATCAGTGCTGTGCTGTCATGACAATCAGGCAAAGACACAGGAATATACAAAAGGTGACATCTCAGGTCAGACACTGAATTGTACATTTGAGGCTTTATTCAGAATCTGTCTCAGAGTTTTAACTGGAATCAGGCTGGTTTTATTCCAAAAGCTGGAATTTATAAGATGCCACACTGACTGGCTGTGAGTACAAGTTGTGGCTTTTTTGAACAAAATAGAATGTATCTGCAAATGAACACTCTATGCCAACATGCCCTACAACAAAGGCATTGCTGCAGCAGCCTCAGTACTCAATACCAACAACTACCAATTGCCAAACACCATCCTACAACTCATCCGCTTCATCCTTGACCAGTTGTATGATCTTTTGATCTTTCTGCCCTGGATCTCTCTGCATGTAAACTCTGTGTCCATGTGCCCTGCTCTCTCACTGCACCTGATGATGGGGCTGCAGGTTCCGAAAGCTTGTGAGATTCCAAATAAAACTGTTGGACTATAACCTGGTGTCGTGTGACTTCCGACTTTGTTCCAATATAGTTACCTCTCATAAATACACCCTTGGCAAAGGCAAATTCAGTAAAATAGATTGTCTCACATGCAATTCTAACAGCAGAAACAGAACCCAAGTTATTAGCTGGTACAGAGAGAGGAGTAACAGCTTCCAGGTCCAGCTTCAAGAAGCTGCTGAAAGCAAAAACTAAAATCCTGGTTTTGTTCGAGCTTGACCCCGCCATTTCATGCTGCTTCTATTGTTCCAACTTTTTAAAGAAACCAAAGCTAGCTGGGCTCAGAGCAGACAGTTCAGCTCCAAGTTTACAACTTCACACTTACTTTCAAAAGAAACATGACAGAACAAATTTTTCTTAACATCTCGTAACAGCATACAGGATCCTTCAGCCTACCATGACTGTGTTGACCAATAAAGACCAATCTATATAATCCCTTTTACCTCGATTTGGTTCATAGCCTACTATATCCTGGCATTTTAACTGCTCCAACAGATGCTAATTTTTGTTTTGTATCTGCCTCCACCACTGTCTCAGGCAGTGCATTCTATTTTTCTACCACCTAGGGTGATTTTTTTTTTTCTCAGATCTTCTTGAAACAACTTACTCCTCACCTTAAATTTGCCCTCTGGTCTCAGACATGTCTTCCATGGGGGAAACATTCTCACAATCTAACCTGTCTGTACCTCATAATTTTGTAAACTTCAGTTAGATCCCACTCAGCCTCCTCTGCTTCAAGGAAAATAAACCCAGTCCATCCAGTCTCTCTTCATAACTGAGGCTTTCTGTGTATAAGCAGACTGAAGATGTGATTTGGATACAGTAGATGAGGAAACCAGATTAAAATATGTGACATCTTATGTTCAAATGGCAAATATCAAAAGAACTAATTCATAAAACACAACAAATATATCTTGCTAAGGAATCAAACATCCCCTTCTCCCATGGGAAAACTGATAATTGAGGTCACAAAAGAAGTTAAAGGTACCAAGATCCATTTCTCCAACATCCCCACACTCAGTGACATACACTGGCGCTTGGTCAAGTGGTACTTTGATTCTCATCCTTGCTTCAAATCCTGTCATGGCTTTGGCCCATCCTCATCTCTAACATCCGTTAGCTCCAAACTCCAAGCCTTCAGAGGTATCTGCACTCATTTATTCCGGACCCTTAAACATCCCAATTTTAATCATCCACTATTGGTGATCATACCTTCAGTTGTCTGGACCCTGAGACCTAGAATTCCCTCCTTACTTCATTTTCGTGAAGACAATCCTTAAAACCTAAACTTTTTTTCATCTAACATTTCCTGATGTGCCTCAGATTCATACTTTGTTTTATTATGCTTCAGAGAAGCATCTTGGGACAGTTTATTATGCTAAAGGTGCTTTATAAACAAAAGCAGTTGGAGAATTAAAGGAAGAGGATTATTGTTTTGCAAAAAAATAGCAGGGAAATGCTAAAATCTATTATTTGGAACATTTGAAAGCCTCAGGTATACAGCACTTGTAAAATCATAATATGATGAGTTGAAGTTGCAGTTTTAAAAGGGCAATTTCTGTTTGACAAATCTGTTAGCATTTCTGGGGTAGTACCCAGGTTATTTAGATTTTCAAAAAGTATTTGCTAAGGTGTCGGAAGTGGGTATTATAAAGTAATAAGTTACAATCAGTCAAAAAACATTCTCAGGTTAAGGAGGGAAAAAGAAAACCATGCAAAAATCATTTCAATTAGTAGTTTAATCTCCCAAACTTTCTCCATTGACCCCTACTACATTATGGGTTAGCATGTGAATGTTTGAATGAGAAAGGACTGGGATTAGCTTCAGTAGTGCAAATCTCATTCTCTATCTACCAATGATGAACAGCCAGTTTAAAGAGATACTAGGAGAGTCACTGTCATGGTGACTGGAACTGTATACAAACGGCGACATATTCAGGACAACAGCAAAGTAGAAAATAGGAAGAAAATTGAAGAAAAAGGAAAACATATTTAATTAATATTTTTCTATTGAGGTCAATGCATTTAAGAATAATTAAGAGTTAACCTGATTTCCTCATTCTTGCTCTCCAACTCTTTTTCTAATATTGTACATTTCTCAAGTAACTCTGCTCTGTCTTTGTCATAGTGATCCAGGCGCCTCTGCAATTCCTCTTCATTGTCTTGAAACTATAATACAAGAAGATAAATAAATTAAACATTTCTGCAGGTCTAATACTTACATTGAAAACTTGAGGTGTATCCTCCCTCACCATTAAAAGCTTTTCCATGGTCTTTTCCTTGTATTGTTTGAAAGCATCAGAAAGTTCCTCAGCATTATAAAGGGCTTCATTTCTTTGTTGTTCAGCTCTATTTAGAACATAAAAACAAGTTGTACTAACGTTACTTCAGTTGTATATTCCTGAAGTACAGAAATGTTTATTTTTCCAAAATGACAGACATGTTCTAGTTTTAAATCTCTAGGACAGAGTAAAAATATATGTGAAGTTCACGCAAATCAAAAGTTTTCTGTGAAACACATTGTACTTCTCCCATCAAAATATTTATTTCTATACTCTTTCTCTTCTCATAAAAGGAGATTTTATTTGAATTTTGTTCTAGCTCAGTCCTGTCTCCCAAGCTGTTATTCTTTATTTGAAAACAATATCAATCGGCCAATTTTTTTTTTAAGTGTATCACAGCTTGTCCAATTTGTTTTTGTCAAACATCCACATGCAAGTTTGTCACATATGCTAAATCAAGTTTCAAGTAATATGCAACACCACCCACATAATCTCACCAATTTGATCTAATTGGTAAAACCTGTTCTCCATCTTTTTAAGTTTCTCAAAAACAGTGATTCCCTCTCCAACACAAGGTGCAAATTGTTTGCCTTTATTCTGGCATTCCAGGTGTCATTAAAATCGACCAACCTTTTAGACTTCTAAATTACGCCCAGTCAGTTCCCCAAGTAAATATTAAATGGAAGATCAGGTCTCTTTTCCAAGCCTCTTGAATTCTGAACTCTTTCTTCTAATTGTTAGAAAGTAATTAAAACCCAAAAACGTTAACTACTTTTCTCATCCAGAAAATGTTCCATAGACAAAACAACAAACACTTTTGGTTTCATCTGCCATAAATGTCAAGCATGACACTATGTGGCTTGACACGTTGGGAAAAAAATGTTTAAAAGTAGAAAAATAAGACCTTCTAATTTCTTTAGATGCACCAGATAGCATAGTGAAGAAGGCGTTTGGTATGCTTGCCTTTATTGGCCAGTGCATTCAGTATAGGAATTGGGAGGTCACGTTGCAGAGGTACAGGGCATTGGTTAGGCCACTCCCGGAATACTGCGTGCAATTCTGGTCTCCTGGCTATAGGAACAACGTTGTGAAACTTGAAAGGGTTCAGAAAAGACTTACAAGGATGTTGCCAGGGTTGGAGGGTTTGAGCTATAGGGAGAGGATGAAGAGGCTGGGGCTATTTTCTTTGGAGTATCGGTGGCTGTGGGGGGACCTTATAGAGGCTTACAAAACCATGAGGGGCAGCATACGGTAAACAGACATGGTATTTTCCCTGGGGTGGGGGGAGTCCAAAACTAGAGGGCATAGGTTTAAGGTGAGAGGTGAAAGATTTAAAAGGGACCTAAGGGGCAACATTTCCACGCAAATGGCGGTGCGTGTATGGAATGAGCTGTCAGAGGAAATGGAGGACATAAGAACATAAAAACTAGGAGCAGGAGTAGGCCATCCGGCCCCTTGAGCCTGCCCCGCCATTTAATAAGATCATGGCTGATCTTTTTGAGACTTAGCTCCACTCACCCGCCCACTCACCATAATCCTTAATTCCTTTACTGTTCAAAAATTTATCTAGCCTTGCCTTAAAAACATTCAGCGAGGTAGCTTCAACTGCTTCACTGGGCAGGGAATTCCACAGATTCACAACCCTTTGGGTGAAGAAGTTCCTCCTGACCTCAGTCCTATATCTGCTTCCCTTTATTTTGAGGCGATGCCCTCTAGTCCTAGTTTCACCTGCTAGCGGAAACAACCTCCCTGCCTCCAACTTATCTATTCCCTTCATAATCTTATATGTTTCTATAAGATCTCCCCTCATTCTTCTGAATTCCAATGAGTATAATCCCAGTCTGCTCAGTGTCTCCTCATAATCCAATCCTCTCAACTCTGGTATCAACCGAGTGAATCTCCTCTGTGCCCCCTCCAGTGCTAGTATAACTCTTCTCAAGTAAGGAGACCAAAATTGCACACAGTACTCCAGGTGTGGCCTCACCAGGACCCTCTCCAGCTGCAGCATAGCCTCCCTGTTTTTAAACTCCATCCTTCTAGCAATGGCAGACAAAATTCCATTTGCCTTTTTAATTACCTGCTGCACGTGCAATCCTACTTTTAGCGATTCATGCACAAGGACACCCAAGTCTCTCTGCACAACAGCATGCTGCAATTTTTTACCATTTAAAACATAGTCCATTTTGCTGTTATTCCTACAAAATTGATGACCTCACGCTTATCAACATTGTACTCCATCTGCCAGACCTTTGGCCACTCACTTAGTCTATCTATATCCCTCTGCAGACTTTCAGCGTCTTCTGCACACTTTGCTCTACCACTCATCTTAGTGTCATCTGCAAATTTTGACATACCACACTTAGTCCCCAACTCCAAATCATCTATGTAAATTGTAAACAATTGCGGTCCCAACACTGATCCCTGAGGCACACCACCAGCCACTGACCACCAACCAGAAAAACACCCATTTACCCCTACTCTTTGCTTTCTACTGGTCAACCAATCCTCTATCCATGCTAATACATTACCTGTAATACTGTGCAACTTTAGCTTATGTAGCAGCCTTTGGTGTGGCACCTTGTCAAATGCCTTCTGGAAATCCAGACACACCACATCCACAGGTTCCCCATTGTCCACCATGCAAGTAATGTCCTCAAAGAATTCCACCAAATTAGTTAAACATGACCTACCCTTCATGAACCCATGCTGGGTGTTCCCAATGGGACAATTTATATCCAGAGGTCTTGCTATTTCTTCCTTAATGATAGATTCAAGCATTTTCCCCACTACCGAAGTTAAGCTAACTGGCCTATAGTTACCTGCTTTTTGTCTACTTCCTTTTTTAAACAGTGGTGTCACATTGGCTGTTTTCCAATCTGCGGGAACCACCCCAGAGTCCAGTGAATTTTGGTAAATAATTACTAGTGCATTTGCTTTTTCCCCCATCACCTCTCTTAGTACCCTGGGATGCATTTCATCAGGGCCAGGAGACTTGTCTTTAGCCCCATTAGCTTGCCCAGCACTGCCTCCTTAGTGATAATGATAGTTTCTAGGTCCTCACCTGCTATAACCTTTTTGCCATTAGTTTTCGGCATGTTATTTGTGTCTTCCACCGTGAAGACCGACACGAAATAACTGTTTAATGTCTCGGCTATTTCCTCATTCCCAGTTATTAAATTGGCCTTCTCATCCTCTAAAGGACCAATGTTTACCTTCGCCACTCTTTTACGATTTAAATATTTATAAAAACTTTTGCTGCCTGTTTTTATATTCTGAGCTAGTTTACTCTCATAATCTATCTTACTTTTCTTTATAACTTTTTTTGTGGCTTTCTGTTGGCCTTTAAAGATTTCCCAGTCTATTAGTTTCCCACTACTCTTTTTTTTTTGTACGTGTTAACTCCCAAATTTATTGGGTGGAAGCTTACCTTCCCAGGCTGCCCTTGCACTTTCTCCCGGACTCCCGCCCCTGAAAACAACTGAAAGGCCGCAGTCACGCGAGGTAAGACTTTTATAATCGAAAAGCTTATCTTCCCAGGCTGCCCTCACGCTTTCTCCCAGACTCCCACCACTGAAAACAACTCAAAGCTGGAACAACAGGAGGCTGGTACAATTACAACATTTAAAAGGTATCCGGGTGGGTATATGAATAGGAAGGCTTTAGAGGGATATGGGCCAAATGCTGGCAAATGGGACTAGATTTATTTAGGCTATCTGGTCAGCATGGAAGAGCTGGACCGAATGATCTGTTTCTGTGCTGTACATCTCTATCGCTCCATTTTCCAACAAATCACTTGTTCCTTTCAACTTCATTGTCAATTGCTAATATCATACGGAGACCCTGAAGTATTCTCCCTCGTTTTCAGACTGGAAACTTTCCAAACTGAAGTTTTTACAGAGTTCAATAAACCACATTATACCTATTTTCCACAACTACCACAATACCTACCAAAACTCAAGAATCAAAAATTACTCAAAATATGCATGTCAGTACTATTCTCAGGTATCTGAATTTCTCTATAACTGCAGAATTCTTTTTTGAAGTTTTATTCCACATAAAAATAAAACTCTAACTAATTAGCAGAATACTAATGGAAATTTGGGTGGTGTGAACAAGCCTCTCCGTTTATTGAATTTCAAAGAACAACCTGAAAAAGAAAGTCACCAAGGCAAGCTTCTAAAGTGCTGCTGTACAATTCAATAACTACAGCAAATGGCATTAGGCATGAATGGCCTTTAATTTAACAAAACATTATTCTGACCAACAGACCATTTCCCTGTTGATCAGTACCTCTTTCCTCGTCGACCTTGTTCGTAGAGTTCATTCTTCACTCTTTTGCATTCATCGGATAACTTTTCCAAGAGCTTTTCCTTCTCAGCTACCATCCATTGGCTTTCTTCCAATTTTTCTTCTGCAACCCTTAGTTAAAAAAAACCAGCACCATTTTTAGACATAAATGTTTATGGTGTTTTACACATGAAAACTGGCAAATTCAATGCCTTTATCATAAATGCTCACAAGAAGAAGAAATTATTTTAAATTAAAATTCTAAAAATAGACCTTCTGCTAAACTTTTTGCAGTTAGTTAGTGAAGAGACCAGAACTCAATCCTTTTTTCAGTTTTAGATTTAATCACAAATTGAGACATTACAAATGCTTAGCTCCTGGCTTTAAAGTTCACAGACACCAATAAAATTTTAACAGGATTAAATAGGGTAAATATAGGAAGAATGTTCCCGATGACCGTGGAATCCAGAACTAAGAGTCACAGCTTAAGG